GGCCTGAATAGATGTCAGTTAAAACACAATTTATCATAAAATTATAATTAAAATAAATTATAAGAGAGTACAATTTTTGAATAATTTTCCAGTTTTACTATGAATTCTGCAATTCTTCAAAATCTAAATTTAAGACAGCATAATACCAACACGGTTTTCTATATCTAAATATCCTTGTTGAAATGCTTACCAGATAATATACTTTACCATTTTAATAACAAAATACAGTAATACAAAAAATTTATATAATACTGTACATAGTAAATTCATAGTAGGCTTAAAGGATTTATTGACTACATATGTTACCTATTGGAAATGTGAGATTTAAAAGCATGAGTTTTTTAAATAATAATTTTTTTAAATATTCTAATTATTATTTGATTAAATAAATATATTATTCAAAAACAATAGTTTAAACTAGTATTTTGTAGTTAATAAAATATTTTTATCAACAATTATATGTAGTGTTATATTTCACTAACCAAGAGTAAATTTTATTTTTGATATAATATTATATGATATCCACTCTTACTTTATTTATATAAGTAATTTAACTTATGTATGCACATATTATCAGTTAATTAATGTATTGTTAAAACTCATTACATCAAACTAAGACAATACTTTCAAATAATATATTGTAAACAATATGTACGGGTTAAATTCTTTGTGCAATTTTCTTGACATAATCTCATGTCTATATAATCTACGAGACACGATATGATTATTACAATTCTTATTAACAAATATTGTAATGAATTCTGTGTTGACATAACAATTGGTAGCGATATCTCTCAACAGGAAGTGATTTCATTAAATATGATTTTTATTTGAGAAATTAATTCAACATATTATCTAACATAATGTTAACATCTTATAATACATTTGCAGAGCAAATAAAGATGAGTAATAATAATAACGTGAGACGGGATGAGGACTCAGCCCTCACATCCAATATAAGACAATTGATTAAGGAATTGATGGCAGAATTTTTGGGCACCTATATGCTGCTGGTATGTATAATTTTGAGCTATTTTTAAAGTTTATATTTATCTTATTATTTAATTAAAATCATTTTTAGTGTTAAATTGTGGAATTTGAAAAACCTTTGTTTTTGGTAATAGTATTTTATTTTGAATATTATTTTTCGCATCAATATTAGTTTACTGAATATTTAATTACATTTCATTTGAGATGAATTATTTTGTATGTTTGTAAATCTAAACGCTTACCACTAATTGGCTAGTATAATCTAGATTGATTTGGTAATAGTAATACAAATTGACTTAATTTCATTTAAGATTTCAATGAATCACTTGTCAGGACTTATAGTGAAAATAATTACTTTAATTTGTAAATATTTAATTTAATATGTTTACTTAATTTGGACATAATTAAAATTTATTAAACTTTAATTTTGAATAATTAATATATGATTTGATGATAAATATTTTAATTCCACGTAAAAATCAATTACTTAAATCAATTCACATACTGTACAGTACACTATAAGTTACCGGTATTACAGATAAGCAAGCACATAATAGTTAACGGATTAAATGGAAACATTTAAACTCTTAAATACAGTCGACCCTCTATGCTTATCAAATGTTTACTTGCTTATCAATTTAATCCGTCAACTATGTTAGCGCTATGTCTGGCATATGAAAATCACATGTGAGCATGCAAACTTTACCATACCATGCCTAGCATTTTCACTGTCAATAGGATCAAAAATACATATTTTGTTTTAAATTGTCAGAAATTTCCATTCACCATATAATTGACTAGTTATGCATAATTGTTTATAATTGTCTAAACACTACTGTACTGTACAGTCAAATACAGTATTATATTATTATACAGTAGTATACGTTTGAAGTTAAACAAAGTTTTAGCACTTTTCAAGAAGTATAATTTTTATTTTTGAATAATTTATCACACATAAAAGTTATTTAGATATGTAATACTGTATTTATAAATATGTAATTTATTATAAAAATTCAGACAACAAAAGTCAAACAAAGAGTTATTTATTTATTTAGTATATAATACACTACAGTATAGATTACAAAAATTATTTTGATTAATTATGTGATAAATAATAATAAAATTATTTAAATTTTATCATTATGTTTATATTTATGCCATCATTTATACAGTACAAACATACCTGGACCAATACATATCTTTATAAATTTCATCTTAACCTTTGTAAAGTTAATCTTTGATCGCTGCTTAACTAATCAAAAGTTATTTTGTCTGTAAAAAAATGAAACTATTAAACTATAGTATTATACTGTACTATTCACATATTTTGTACTATTAAAATTATTAAGTATTAAATGTTTAGTAAGATCTTGATCACTTAAATGTAAAATTAAAAATATTTGACTAAAATAGAAATATTGCATTAACTTGCCAACTATAAAAATGTCAATGACTTTAATTTACATAATTTTATTGTCAAAACTAAAATAATTATAATTTTATATTATAATTTACAATGTTTGAAAAGCATATGTAAATAAAAATCATAAAAACAATATAAATGAAACACTTTTATCCCATAATCACAGCTAATTGGGTGTTCAGGGACGGCTGCCTATGTATTGAACATTAAGGGCATACCTAACAAACCCGTGGACTACGCCGGTGTTAACTATTGCTGGGGGTTTGGAGCCTTTGTGGGTATATGTGCCTCAATGGCCATATCAGGTTTGTACTGAATATCATAACTAAAACATTATAACAGTTATAATAAACAACACTATGATTACTCGGGGAACAGGAGGTCACATAAACCCGGCCGTATCCATAGCTTTCGCAACGTTAAGACGTTTCCCGTGGACTAAAGTGGGTCCCTATATATTGGCCCAAACGGTGGGCGCATTTCTAGGCGCCGCCACCGCATACCTGGTATACTTGGATCAGATCAATATGCAGCACAACTTAGAGCCGCTCAGGAATCACACGGAATTACGAGCCTTTGGAGACGCCCTGAGCACCGGCGGCATATTTGCCACATACCCGGCCGCTCACAGCACGCTATTAGTTTGCTTTATTGAACAGGTATTTGAATAATTATATCGATTGTAACATTTATATTATACCTGTGCCGTTGATTAGGTGGTGGCTACATGTTCCCTATTAATATCAGTGATGGTAGTGGTGGACAAGAACAACCTGAATGTACCCATGTTTTTGCAGCCCTTTCTACTGGCGTTTGTGATCGCCACCCACGCCCAGGCATTTGGGTTTAACACGGGCTGCGCTATGAACCCGGCCAGGGATTTTGGGCCCAGACTTTTTACGGCAATGGCCGGTTGGGGTCTCAATGTGTTTAGGTATGTATAACCCACTCGTATTTAATTAATTAAAAGTTTGTTTAATTTATAACATGTATAATTATAGCCCATTGGACGGTCACTACTGGTGGAGTGCGGGCATAGCGGGCCCCACACTGGGGGCTGTTATGGGTGTTTGGATCTACTATTATGTTATCGAGTATTTCTATTCACCGCCAAAAGGGTTGAATACATCAGTCGATGGCATCAATGATACTAAACCCGTTTAAGACACCGATTGAGCTTTAATTATGTGTTTTGTTTCCCAATTTATAAATCAAACTAACATTTTATATACATTTTTAAGTTTGGTTTATATACACAACTTTATTAATAATTTCTATGAAATTATCAACAATCTCTAACTCATTATCAAAGTATTAGTGATATTTAAATATTGGTGTTTAAGTGTTTAGTATAATATTATATACTTATATGTTATAACTAATTTTATAATTAATATCCATTTATTATATTTCATAGAAACATTTTTATCAATATAGTTGTTAAGTATTTTTTAAATTTATTATTAAGTATTACTTGTTATTGATTATATGAAGCTTAATTAAATTAATTTAAGTATTAATTCATACTATATTAAAAGCAAAAATTGTTTTCAATGGCAGCAAAACAAGAGCTAAAAGTAATGTAAAGATTTTAATTTATAAATAAATAAGGTTAAATAACTTATTTATGAATCACAAATAGCAGTATTAACATTATATTTTCATTAAAAATATTTTTATCGCTAAAAATGATTTCTAAGTCTAAAGTATAATAACATTTCCAAGAAATTTGCAAATCATTTAATTTAAAACTATATATAAAATATGATACAATATTTAATAAGAATCACAAAATCAAATACTTCCCATTATATGCACACATATAAAAAAAATCTGTTAAAATTATGCACATAAATATGATTATTTCTATTTGTAATTTTTTTTATTTATGCTTATACCGTATATTACAAAAACAAACTAATAATAACAACTGTATTGATATTATTATTATTAATCTTATTATAAAATATACACAAATTTAAATTAATAAATAAAATTAATTGAATATACACATAAAATGGTAGTCAAACTACCGGGAAAATATTTAATTACAAGAGTGTCTAGGACAGTGTGCACGTAAAACAGGCTTTATGTTTGACAGGGAATCGGTGCAATTCAAGCACTTTTCGGATACTTTCGTCAAATATCTGGTTTAAGCCGAGTTTAGTAGCGGCTGAACACTCGAGGTATTTGACGGCCCCGTGTTTTGCCGCTACCTTTTGGCCCATTTGTCTCTCGATCGGTGTTTCCCCCGTTTCGGACAACTCCTTCAGCACCTCATAATTAGTTCGTAAATCACATTTTGTGCCTTAAATATGATATAAAAATATTTTAATGTTTGATAAATAATGAAGTGATAGGAGTTAATGAGTTTGTTTGACAATTCATATTTTAATGATTATTAGCAACAATAATCTTTGTGTAATAGATTTTGTTTTGAATATATGACTAAATAAGGTTATTAAGAATTTTAATTTAAGATATCCAACACATAACTAGTACTGTTGTCTAATCTCATGTTTGAACAGGTAGAGGTAATTGAATAAATTTCTATGCGATACAAAAGTATCTACTGTATAAATTATAATCTATAAGTGTCAAGAATTTCAAAATTAAATATTACCTAAAATAACTTAATAAGAATAATAATAAATAAAACATTTTAAATGTAATATATACTAATTAATGAGAGAGAGAGAGAGAGAGAGAGAGAGAGAGAGAGATGAGGTGACAGACCTACTAATAGGAAAGGCTTGTTGGGAAGACACTCTTTCATTTCGGGAATCCATTTATTGACGACATTATGAAATGTTTTCGGAGACACAATAGAGAAGCAGATAATGAAGACATCCGTTTCCAGGTATGTGAGGGACCGTAAGCGCCGCATATCATCGAGTCCTGCGGTGTCGCACAACTCCAGGTCAACCAAAACCCCATCGCATACCACCTCCTTATGGTAGGTGTCAAAGCTATACAAAACAAATGATATACAATATGTTAAGATTTATTTGTAACTCAATTCATAAAAATTAATTCATTCATTAAATTAAAAATATTTTGATAAACAAGTTTCAAGTTTAAATCTCTCTCTCTCTCTCTCTCTCTCTCTCCTCTCTCTTTATTTATTTATTTATTCATTTCTAAAGTATAATAATAAATAAATTGCAAAATAATGTTTACTATTGTCTAATAATTAGAGCACAAAATATGTTAAGTTTTGTATTGTTTTAGCAGACAATGCATGGACTCTGTGAGACAGCACTTACATTGTGGGCACATATTGTGTGTTGAATGAGCCGGTGGTGTATGAGATTAGCAGAGATGTCTTTCCCACCGAGCAGTCCCCAATTATGGCACATTTGACCGGTAATGGGAATACCTCTAATCCATCACCTAATGGTATGGGTCGGCACTCAGACTTTTTACGCTTGAAATAAAACTGAGACATTGTTTTTGATATTCACGGAATTTATTATACGGATAGTGAACTACACTTTATGATAGTTAATAGTAAAGTGATGGCAAAAGTTTTCAAAAGTTGTTCAAAACACATGTTTTACTCACGAATACCATTTACAATGAATTTGTAGCTTGATATATCAAATAAATTAGTTATTTTTAAGTATATACACTCACAAAACACATACACCGTTATTGTCAATAGTAATAGCAATTAATTATTTTGTATTCAATTTTCAAGTGTTTTATATTTCCGCGACTTTTTACTACTGCTATTGAATGACGTTTTCTTGTGAATTAAATTTAAACCGTTTTTTAATGAGAAATAACTTTAATATAACACAAGACATTGAGAGTTAAATTACAGCAACACTTGAATTATTTGTCAAAATATTTGTTTAATTTTAATTGTTTAAATTAAACATTTTAATTCATACAAATTTTAGACACCAAAAATATATCTATACTATTAATGTGTTTATGTTTTATTGTCTTAAGTTTCTAGTTGTGAAACTTTATTTTATTTTATTTTATTTCTGTTTTATATTATATATTTGCAAACAATAGCTATAACTTGAGTCCAAAGTTTCATTTATCTCCCATTCCTCAGCCGACTGTCTCTGACGTATAGCCGTCTATACCTGTCGTCTCTCTCCCTACTGTTTATGCAATTACTAAATAATTTTATATCAATTCAATGATAGCCTAATCGAGTGAATGAAATGTTAGATAATATGTTGAATTAATTTCTCAAATAAAAATCATATTTAATGAAATCACTTCCTGTTGAGAGATATCGCTACCAATTGTTATGTCAACACAGAATTCATTACAATATTTGTTAATAAGAATTGTAATAATCATATCGTGTCTCGTAGATTATATAGACATGAGATTATGTCAAGAAAATTGCACAAAGAATTTATCCTGTACATATTGTTTACAATATATTAATTGAAAGTATTGTCTTAGTTTGATGTAATAAGTTTTAACAATACACTAATTAATTGATAATATGTGCAAACATAAGTTAAATTACTTATATATACCGTATATATATATAATTTAAAAGTTAGAGGTGAATTATCATACAATAAATGTAAATATCATATCAAAAGTAAAATTTACTCTCGGTTAGTGAAATATAACACTACGTATAATTGTTGATAAAAATATTTTATTAACTACAAAATACTAGTTCAAACTATTGTTTTTGAATAATATATTTATTTAATCAAATAATAATTAGAATATTTAAAAATATTATTTATAAAACTCATGCTTTTAAATCTCACATTTCCAACAGGTATGTAGTGAATAAATCCTTTAAATGCTATGAATTTACTATGTACAGTATTATATAAATGTTTTGTATTACTGTATTTTGCTATTAAAATGGTACAGTATATTATCTGGTAAGCATTTCAACAAGGATGTTTAGATATAGAAAACCATGTTGGTATTATGCTGTCCTAAAGTTTAGGACCTAAACTTAGATTTTGAAGAATTGCAGAATTCATAGTAAAACTGGAAAATTATTCAAAAATTGTACTCTCTTATAATTTATTTTAATTATAATTTTATGATAAATTGTGTTTTAACTGACATCTATTCAGGCCCTATAATCCTTTTAACACATTTATATCGCATATACCGGTATAAAAAACTTTACATTAGATTTCACTATAGATTTAAATACTCAAGGCTTACACACCTGTGCCTCTTATTAGCAAAACATAAAAAAGTGTTTAATTTTTTAATTTTTAGATTTTTAGAGTCTCAATCGATTTTTATCTCACTTTACACTATCGGACACATAATCTCCAGGTTTAATAAAATTTTTATAAACTTTTTAAACACTTTTGTGAAACAAAGAGTTTGAGAAGTAATGGAAATTTTTCGCTGTTATTAAGAAATTTATTAATGGTTTGTATACTAAATATAAAAGTTTACACTTCTTTCCAGTGATAACCTTTAAGATGAAGCAAATTATTGGTATTTATTAATAAATTCAATGATAAGTTCAATGACATAAAAATGTTTAAAAATATACTTTTATTTCTAAATTTAAAGCAATAATTATTTCATTAAAAATTCAAACGCTTATTAAAAAGACATTTTCATATCAAATAATGGGTACAATATTATATTTGCAATACATATGAGAAACAAATATATTATTAATAAATGCGTTATAAATAAGTTTGTATTTTATACTCACAGAAACATTCAAATTAATTGTAAAAGAGTTCACATTTTGAAGGAAAACTCATTAATTAAATTAATAAATTGATTGCATATATAGCAGGATATGGTGTGCAAACTCTTTCGTGAATAGTAGTGGAAAGCCATCATAAAAAGCATTTATAAACCATATATGATATATCCATAAGTGCTTACGATTTGAGCGATATTTGCCTGAATCTACGGATTATTCTGTCCTTTATTCCTGAATACGAATAATACAAATATAGACCAAATGAACAAAAAATTAATGAAACAAATAAAAAGCCATTTATGAGACAAAACACCGAAACATTTATTTATCATTAGAAACATGCGATTAGTTTGTAAAATAAATTATTTAAGTAATGGGCGGTTGTTATGGGTTGACGAGTATGGGTCTGCGGGCCCTATCGGACCGGACTTCTATAGGGGTATCGATATCGTCGTCGACTTTATTATCGACTCTATTACCGGCTGATAGGTCTTCCTCATCGTCCGTGAAATGTATGGGTCGGGTGTTGGCGTCCAACTTCTCAGTCGCCTCTAACAGCCGGCTCTCATCGTGTTTGTCGAGACTCCCGGTGAGCGAGTACTTGTCCGACCGCTCCACCCGTTCGGTCGGCATCTCTTCGCCCAATAATAGGATAGGCTTTCGGGCGTTGGCCTGCCTTTTGAAGAGCAACGGCTTTCTGTAGTTGTTGTTCCCGTTTCCGTCCCGTTTGCGTCGGTTTCCGTCGTCTGAGGCACCGGTAGGCTGACTATCCCTAAGGTAGGGCCGGTAGAAGTGGTGCAGTACCCGGGGATACACACCGGCGGTCGACACCTCATCACTACTTCCACTGTTGTCTGAAGAGTCAATTACAGCCAAACTGTTGTCAATGGATGGGTCGGTGGACAGGTATGCTGCCACGAGTGCCGGCAATATGATCCCGATTAACACGGCGTTTGATATGAATTTCATTTTTGCTATTATTATTAAATAACTATTTTTTGTACGACAAATGTATGAATATTAATGAAATCGCAATCAATAGATAAAGATTTGTTTCACACGAAAAAATAATACTGATTTGAATTTTCTATATATGAATCGCTATAATACGTGTGAATATACAGTATATATATATGAAATATATTCTGGTATTCAATCGAAAAACTTTCAGCGAAAAAGCAAAAGATTTTTTTTATTCAGCAAACGATTAGTTTATATTAAGGGATATCCAGCGGGAGATAAACGCCTTCTCTATCTGCTCGCAACACATCCTTTACGATCATTTCAATACAAAAATGCCTTTTTTGTGTATATTATATATTTAATGTACACTTTGCTTACAGTGAATTTTACTCGATTTCATTGAAAACTATCTGTGCATACAGTCGGAGCCCTATTATGCGGACATTAGTGATACAGTCGCTACTCGTGTGAGCATTTGTAGGGAAAGTTTTCTAATCTTTCGTAGACTTTCTGTTTCGATGAAAACTTGTTTTTAAACTTATTTTTAAAAAGTGGTTCATAAGAAAAGTATTTTTTTTGTGTACCATATCTTAGATTTATTATGTATTTGTCTATACAGTACAGTAGTGTATCTCATTTTTAAAAAATAAAGTGTCTGGTTTTAATTAGACTCTAATTATTAGAGTGGTTTTGAATTGAGAAAAGTATTACAGTATATTTAGTCATTTGATATATAAACATAAAATAGGATAATTTAGACCTTCAATATATTGTTTACGTTTTTTAGAAATTCCTGTTCATTATAAGCAATAGTTCTGTACTTGTGTACTGTATGTATAATGTACTAACCGTATAATTAATGAAGTATGCTGCTAAATTGAAATACAGTTTAGACGCTCAATACAAACGCCAACTACGATATGATATGAATCATAAATATTGAAGCAATTCTTAGGAAATATTTTGATAATTTCCCAAAAATAAGAGTTAATTGCACAGAAACCACAATCAATTAATTATCTGCACTAATTCTACAGTAATTGCTCGCTAACAGAATTATAAACAGGGTATAAACATATTTTTGGGCTATTAGGAGTTGTAGGCTAAAAATAGTTTTTTAGGATTTTATTTTGGGTTAAATGAAATTTATGAATTTTATTATTAATATTTTTAATTGATTTTAAAACTAGCGTATTACATACTGTATGTTGAATATACTGTAATTATCAAGTCTAAACAATGTCTGTATAAAAAATTGTTTTGACTGTAATATACGTTTATCGATAACTATCGTCAGAAAAAGTACTGAATTGTATTACAATCACATTACATAACAATATTGTGTTTTTTGCACTAAGAATAACACGTTAGAGAGTGTCAAATGGGTTCAAATGCCTTTCCCGTCAGTCACCCACCTAATTTAGATCAATAGGTTAGTGAACACACGGTTTACAAGTTATTTTATTTCACTGACTCCTATTATACTTAATCGGAAAGTATATTAATGTATACCAGGTATGAGACGTGGTTTATAATTGGGGAAAATCTTGAAAAAAATTGTAAGTTTTTACTTTCATTTACAAATCGCCCCAAAACTTACATTTCAATAAAATTGACTCAATTTTTGAAGGCCATGAATATTATTTGACATTTCTCTCTCTCTCTCTCTCTCTCTCTCTCATCAATGATTGATATAATTATGAATTTGGAGTTTCCCCAAAATGATAACACTCTATGCCATAATAGCTGAAATAATAATGGGTTTAAAATATAAATATTTATCCAACATTTGCGAAAGGATTATACGTTTTGTCCCAAAGTTTTCAAAACTTTTGGCTCAATTATATGAGGAATCGGTTTAAACCGATTTGATTTCGGGTGATCCCGAGTGTGCGGGA